CGCTGCTCATGTCAAGGAGCTTTCTACCCTGGTTTAGCTCTTCTAGGGGTTTCCATCATGAATGCAACTAGACCTCAGCTTTAAATTCTCTCTGTTGGAATACCTGCTCCCTATGGGCCTGCTCCCTTAACTTGACCCTGACCTGCGCACATGGCCAGTTATTTGTTTAGCACAAAATGTAGAGCTACGGCAACTTTCTATTGAAAATGGTGCTTCTCTTTTATCAAGCGAAAGGTATGTTGCCTTTGGGACATAGTAACTAAGAAGGAGTTGGAGACTAACAAGGGATTTAACGCTTTGTAAAGATAGCAAAACTTCTTGTTTGGAAAACATGTAACTGTTAGGCAATATCTGTTAAAATTCTTAACTTTAGGAAGTTTGATAAAAGTTACTTGAGGGTTCATGAGGGAAGAAGTCAGATCTCATTGCTGGTTTTTAAGGTTTGTGAAACTGAATCGTGTTTGAGACAAACAGTGCTTCCAGGTGGTTAGTTGTAAGCCATTTTTATAGAAATTTGGAAGATACTAATTTGTGTTTGGAGTTGAAACTTCGGATTCTGTAAGGTTTTATACACTGAGTTCTTGGTTTTAACCTAATTCAGATTTTACTGGTTTATTTATTTGTTTCATTTATGTATTTGTCATTTTCCCGCTTGTCTGTTAGAGACACAGGTAATGTCTTGAGTCGGGTAGCAAACTGGAATGAGGAGAAAGAGGTAGCTTCTAACAGTTGAGTGGAACTTTTCATGAGGTCTTTCTCTTGGTGTATACCACTGCTTTTTGTGGGTCTCATTCAGTAAGAGGGCTTTGCCTCTAGGATCTGAAAGGAAAGGATGGGTGGGTACTGATAAAAGGTGAGAACTCAGTGAGAATGGAAGGAAGGGATCATAGCCTCATCCACAGAAAAGAGCAGAAAGGTATTTTTTTAAAGAACTTAAAGAATATAACTGTTGGAGTTTGAATTTTCTAGTTAGTATTAATAAGGTGGAAAGCACCTTATTAATACATAAAGCATTTAACAGGGTCACATTATAAATCCAAGCACATTTTTTAAAGCCTTATTCTGTTTTTTTTTTTTTTTTCATCCTTTAAATATAGTTTAAACTCTCTTTTGGGAGGAAAAAAAAAAGAACAACCTGGCCAACTATTGTCAGATTTTGGTTCCTTCACTAATTCAAGCTTCCCAAAATTGTGTATATGGATCCAAGTGAACCAGCCAGTAGGAGCTACAGTTTCTGATTAGGTGGAAGAATCCATTTAATTTAACAGGACTTGCTATGTTTAGCTTTCTTTCTTTCTTTCTTTTTCTTTTTTGTAGCTGGTTTACCTGTGAGCTGGCATTTGTGAAAGATGGATAGGTCCCTTTGAGATTCTTTATTTACCGGAATTTTATTTATTTATTTATTTATTTATTTTATTTATTTATTTACTGTGTGCTCAGTCGCTAAGTCATGTCCAGCTCTACAACCCCATGGACTGTAGCCCACCTGTCTCCTCTGTCCGTGGGATTTCCCAGGCAAAAATATTGGAGGGGGTTGCAATTTCCTCCTCCAAGAGATCTTCCTGACCCAGGGATCTAACCCATGTCTCTTTCATCTCCTGCATCGGTGGGCCGATTCTTTACCACCACACCTCTTGGGAAGTCCTACCCACAGTAAAGGATCGTATATTGCCTTCACTAGAATTGACAGATGCCCCCTGCCCCTGCCCTGGCCCAATGAACAAGAATGTTTCTTTGATGGACCCACAGGGGACTGTACGCCGGGAGACATAGAAATAAGTTGGCTTGGCAAACCCACACCCACGGGAACTAGAGTACCGCCACCTCAGGCAGCCAGGCCGTGGGGCATAACTACTATCCACCTGGCCCAGATGGAGCTGTTTTCTGGGTCCCCTCGGGGCTCAGATGGTGACCAGATCTCACAGTGCTGTCGATGTTCTGACCACACTGCGTGGACTCTGGCTAGGATGCTTTTCTGACATTGGTTATCCTTGATATTTTAATCTGAACAATAAGAGAAAAGAAAAATCCCAGAAAAGCAGAATTCCTCCAAAGGAATCATGCAGTCATCATGTGAGATGACAGCTCTGCCTAAGCACACTGAAATAGCCGAGGTAGAACTTTTCACCATGGTTCTTCTGTTTTGCTCTTTTCCTTGTGTGTGTTGTATACAGCCTGAAAATATCAGAAGGCTATTGAAAATGCTAATCCACTGATTGTGTAGGACCGGAAATGACCAGACCATTCTGCTGATTACTCTGTGGGAAAGGGGTTATTACTATTGCAAGACACTTCTCCAGGGTCTCTCAAGTTTCTGCACGTCTTGTGAGGGAAGCACTAACTACCTTTTTTTTTAGACTATCTTTTCAAGGAAAATTGTAGAGCAAATGACCTGGAAAATGGTAGTCTAGCCTCTCTCTCTCTAAAGTAAAATGTGGACCTGCTTGCTGTTCAGTATGATAAAGACAGCGTCTCCCTTCAACACAAAGGAAAGGTCGGCTTACAGATCCTTCTAAAAGATCTACATGTCCTAAGCTCAGGGTGCCCAGCTGTGTGGCAGAAACCCAGTATGCGTAGCATGTAGGTTGGCCTGGACACTTCGTCTCCCGGGAACTGGGATGCAGACGAACTGACAAAATCATGACGCCTGTACTTCGTGCTGCCGGGGCGCCGGCCCAGGAGTCTTGTGTCTCCTGGCCACATCCATGAGACGGTGGCAGGCTAACCTGTTAGCTTGCAAGCTGGGTGAAATATTGGCCGCTCCACCAGTTTAGCTACTCTGGCACTGGAGAAGAATCTGCTTCCATAAAAATCGGTGGAGAAGGCACTGAAATTCACTGATGATTAATACATATTTAATATACACAGTAGTTAATCTGTATTTTAATTCTGTCATGCTATATGAATTTCTGCCATTTTCCAAATATTTGTTACTTATTAAACCATTGATTGTAAAATTCCTCCCTCCAGTAAAAAGGATTTTGACTTTTATCTGGCGGAGTTTTATCTAGTGTTAGAGCAGTTTGTGATTTGTTAGCTGAATGTCTACCAGTGGCTTTCTGCAATCTAAGAAAAAGTATAAATACTATCTATTTATCTGTATGTGAAATACTTCCTCAATACAGCCAAGTCAGCTATTCTGGAGGAATTACTTTCCGTTATGAGTGAGGATTTTTTTCAGGTCTGCAAAAGCGGTCTGTGTATTTCACAAGGGTCAGTCATGTCCTCCAGACGTCTTGTTTTGATAGTCAGGTTTGGCCTTAACTCTCTTCCATTATACCCTTGAACTGACCTTTGAAGGATTCATATCATTTCAAAAAAAAAAAAATGGAGTGATAAGGATGGCCTTCCATGTTAAGAGAGAAAGCAAAAGCAATCATTATGATTTCCATGCTGCTTCAGGGAAGCCATGCAGGACCCCGCAGACACACCGGAGCGGGCTCCCTCCAGGTGCTCACCCCATCCATCACAGCGGGATGCTGGCACAGTTTCATCACGGGGGCTGAGGTCTGCAGGCTGGTGGGTCAGCTACTGTGTCACTTGCCCTAGGTAGGGGTTTCTGGCTACCTAGGTATACCAACTGGAATTGACAAGGCACTTATTCTTAAAAACATCATGGGCTCCAAATTCCTGGCTTGGGGACATTTCTCTGTACAGGGGAACTCTCCAGATTTTTGAAGAGTAACATGTTTTACCTGAGACATGCCATTATTTTCAGATGTGCTAAGTGAGCTTGTTACAGCCCTTGTTTTCTGAAAGGATGAGTAGTTTGCTACCTTTACCTCTAAGGTTGCTCTAACTTAGTAGTTCTCAAAAGTGTGGTCCCCAGAGCAGTAGTGACAGTATCACCTGGCAACTTGCTGGAAATGCGGCTCCTAAGCCCAGTGTCAGAACATCTGGGGTGGGTCCCTACAAAAGGCTAGTTTAACAAGCATCCTGGATGATTCTGATGCATATTGGACTTAGAGACTCACAGGTGTGGCTCACTGTGTCTGTGGTCAGAGGAGGAGGAGGTCAGTTTGGCTTGTTGTTGTTTAGCTGCGAAGTCATGTTCTAGTCTTTGTGACCCCATGCACTGTAGCCCACCAGCCTCCTCTGTCCATGGGATTCTCCAGGCGAGAATACTGGAGTGGGTTTGCCATTTCCTTCTCCAGGGAATTTTCCTGACCCAGGAACTGAACCCGCATCTCCTGCATTGCAGGCGGTTTCTTTACCACTGAGCCACCAGGGGAGCCCTTAGTTTGGTTACAAGTAGGGAAAAGACAGTTTAAGAGTGATGATGTCAAAGGGATAAAGAAACATTGGTGGCATTCATTAAATAAATCTACTGATTATTTTTTTATTTAAGAAAATATATCTAATCGCTTGTCCTTTGCCATCCACTGTTAGGATACAAATGTATATAAGACATCCCACAAATATTTCAAGGTCTACTGCAGATGTGGACAATCTATACATGCATGTTAAGTCCCTTCAGCTGTGTTGGACTCTCTGTGACCAACTGTGAGATGACCCTGTAAAAATCACTGGATTTCCCTTTAGGAAACCTGGGTTGCTTCCTGCTTTCACCTCTGACTGTTTGACTTTGGACCAATCATTTCATGGCTCAGGGTCTCCTCTTCCTCATTGTTGAGATGCTGTTTCAGGATTCCTCCTACATCCACACCGTGTTCTTCTCCCAAACTCACTTATCATCCGGAGGTGAGCAGGGGGCCCAGAGTGCTCCCACAACTCCTTGGCTGAAAGAGAAAGAGACAGAAAGACTAGCAGACACTTTGGAACCTTCTTCAAAAGGGGACTTGTTGAATAGTTTGCCACAAAGGCATTCATTTCCCTCAAAAGAGTGGATGTTGTCTTATTTCAGACTCATCTATAATCTGATGATACTCTTCTTCTCCTGAAGAGATTCTTTACTGTGAACATGTTTGGGGGTGGGGGGGTGTGGTGGGAGCATGGCCAGCCGGATTCCATGTCTGTGATCATGTTTCTCGTTCTTTCAGGAATTTTTCTTTAAATGTGGAGCACACCCGACCTCTGACAAGGAGACGTCAGTAGCTTTGAACCTTATCACAACAAATAGTCGAGACATCAGCTGCATAACGTGTACGGACATCAGGTAAGGGTCTGAAAACAGGGAACAGAAGAGACCTGCTGCATTGTATTGCCTTTGCTCTTCTGCCAAAGGTCAGTTGACTGTATTTACAGGGTCTGTTTCTGGGCTTTTTATTCTGTTCCGCAGAGCTCTGTGTTTGTTCTTGCACCAGCACTGTACTGACTTAATTAATGTAGCTTCATCATTAAGTTGAAGTCCGGTAATGTCAGTCCCCCAGCTTTGTTTTTGCATTCAATACTGTTTTGACTACTTTTGATCATTTCATCTGCGTCTAAACTTTAAAATCAGTTTGTTGATGTCCAAAAAAGAATGTTGGGATTTTGATTGAGATTGCATTGCATGTGTGCACTGATTTGGGAAGAATCCACCTCTTGATAATGTTGTATTTTTATATCCACAAACATGGAATCCCTCCATTTATTTAGCTCCTCTTTGGTTTTATTTACCAGAGTTTTGTAGTTTTCCTCATGTAGGTCTTATTTTATATTTTGTTAGATTTATGCCTGAGTACTTCAGTTTTCAAGTGTTAATGTAAATGGCATTGTATTTTTATTTCAAGTTGCACATATTCGTTGTTGCTATGTAGGATGGAAATTGACTTTTGTATGTTAACCTTGAACCTTGCAACCTTGCTATAAGTGCTTATTATTTGTAGGGTTTTTTTGGTTGATTCTCTTGGATTTTCTGCCTAGATTATCATGTCATTTGTGAACAAAGACAGTTTTATGTCTTCTTTCCCAATACGTTTATTTTATGTCCCTTCCTTGCCTTGTTGCCTTATTTAGCTAGTCCTTGCAGGACGATATTGAAAGGAATAGTGAGAGAGCACGTCCTCGTCTTGTCCCTGATCTTAGTGTAAAGTTCAAATTTCTTGCCGTTAGGTATGACATCAGTAACAGATATTTTGTGGATAGAGTTTTTCAAGTTGAGAAAGTCCTCCTCTGATCCTCATTTACTGACAGTTTTTGTCATGAATGTGTTTGTGACTCTGTCAGATTTTTTTTTTCCTGCATCTATAGATATCATTATGTGATTTCTCTTTTTTTGTTCATTGATGTAGTGGATTACATTAATTCATTTTTCAGTGTTGAATCTGCCTTGTAAACCTAGGATAAATCCCACTTGTTCATTGTGTGTGATACTTTTTGATACATTTTTTAATTTGATTTGCTATATTTTGTCAAAGATTTTTGCTTTTGTGTTCATGAGAGATATTGATCTGTAGTTTTCTCAAGTTGTCTTTGTCTGGTTTTAGTATTAAGGTAATGCTGGCCTCCTAGAATGAATTAGGAAGTATTTATCCTGCTTCTATCCTCTGAAATAGATTGTAGAGAATTTGAAGCAAAATAATAATTTTATTTATTTTTGTGCTTATAAACATGTACTATTAGATAAAAAGAGATTGATATCTTTTATCTACCTTCTTAATGATAATCCCCCTGTTTAAAAAACTCTTTACAAGTGTATAATAACTTATATTCAAGGAACTTCAATGTCACTAAGCTGACTTTTGACCTTAGCAAAATAATAATCTGTTAAGCCTTCAGCTTCCCTTATAAAATCCAGGAATCAAAGTAGGTTTTATCTATAAGGCTCTGACTGGTTCTGAAGAACTGCAAAAGGTAGAAATAATCCTTGTTCACAGCTTATAAATCAATAGTATTATTTGAAAAAGTGCTTGTTTGTGGTCGTGTCTTCTGCCAGATGCAGAAATAAAAAATGAGATTTTCAATGATACTGCTTTCCAGGTGACAAATATATATGGCTGTGATATGTAAAAAAATGTATAAGGTAAATGTTCTATTCATTTCCAGTTTTTAGGCTTAAGTTTTAATTCAGGTACCTGATATGTGTCTTTTGAGTTTACGAAATAGTGTATGTAAAATATTTTCCTCTCTCTTAAAGAATAGAGTGAAACATTCATGGGTTGAAACATCCTGAGGTTTCGTGTGAACCATCAGGTTCCCATCTGCTGTCCAGCTTTGCAGTGGCCTGTACTTATTTAGAATAGTGTCTTGATCTTCCTCCACTCAGGGTTATCAGTTTTCTCAGTCTTAGGCTTAGGAGTTAAAAATAGTGAGGTGAACAAAAGGCAAAGACTTGAGCCAAGAACAGAAATTATAGCCCTTGAAGGTAGAACAGCTACACTGTTAAGTATCCCCTATAGCAGTTGCATCAAAAAGGTTCAACACATTTCTGGCTGCCTCAACTGGACTCAGAAATAACAATATTCAGCCAAATAAAAATGACCCTGGCAATGCCAAAGTGAGACGTTTAATCCTTCCCAAACCAGTGTGTGTATCTTGGTGTTGCAGGAACGGGGAGCCCTTCCAGGGCCCGAAACTGGGCTCTTGTCTAACACTCAGAAATGAATTGTCCAGGGAGAAACATATGCTGAGAAAGCAAGAGATTTTATTGGGAAGGGGTGCCCGGGTGGAGAGCAGGAGGGTAAGGGAGCCCAGGAGAAACAGCTCTGCCACATGGCTTGCCGTATAGGGTTTCATGGTGATGGGATTAGTTTCCGGGTTGTCTTTAGCCCATCATTCTGACTCAGAGTCCTTCCTGGTGGTGCACGCCTTGTTCAGCCAAGATGGATGCCAGAGAGAAGGATTCTGGGAGGTGGTTGGACATGTGGTGTCTCTTTTTGACCTTTCCTGAGCTCTTCCGGTTGGTGGAGGCGTATTAGTTCTGTGTTCCTTACCAGGACCTCCTGTCATAAAACAGCTCATGCAGATGGTTGCTATGGGGCCTGGCCAGGGCGGGCAGTTCCAGTGAGGGTGCTTCCCCTCACAGTGGGACTTGCTGTGATATCAGGTACGCCGAGAGAAATGCCGTATCTCTGCACCTTGAATCTTACGTTATAAAGTGAGTCTTCTTAAATTTTAAAAACATAAAATTTGAAAACATACAAAATAGAAAAAATTATTACCATGATATATTTTGGCAAAAAGAAAAAAAAAAACCACCACCCTGTTTCTCTTTCTTTGCTTCTTCTAAGGCTGCCTGCTGCATCCCTGTACCTCTTTCCACCTTTATTCATTAGTCCTTAGTTTACAAAGCTGAAGACAAATCAAAAAAGAACCATGTTTACAGTCAAAATTTAAGCTTCCAGAAACATGTTCTAAAGTCCATGTCCCAGTAGGACATTAAATCTAAGAAGCACTGCTACCTTGTAATTTTCCTCAACTCTTCCCATAAAGATTTATGTTTTTGATGCCATTGTTGTTTGATATAATTTTTTAAATAGTTTTCTTGCTTCAAATTTGTCTTATGGTTCATGTAGCCTATTGAAGCAATACCTTGGATTGTGCACTTAAAAGATTTACTTGGGCTTGGAGATCAGTAAAAGTTTATCTGAAAGTCCTTTTATACATGTTCTTGGTGTTTCTGTGGGAGACTAATTTGACTGTCATTTGACAGTATTTTGGTATGAATTCATTGATTCATTTAACAGAGATGAGAAATGGGTATCTTGGTTATGGTCCTTTTGAATGCATATCTTGTCTAATCTCTTGTCAATTTACATTTTAATTTTGGTTACACTTGGCATTTCTTTTATGATTTAGAATTAATGTAGAAGTTCCTTTTATATCGCTATGGACCAAGTATTGGTTGCTCGGTCACGTCCAACTCTTTGCAACCCCACGGAATGCAGCACACCAGGCTGTCTGTCCATGGGGATTCTCCAGGCAAGAGTCCTGGAGTGGGTTGCCATGCCCTCCTCCACAGGATCTTCCCAGCCCAGGGATTGAACCCAGATCTCCCACATTGCAGGCAGATTCTTTACCATCTGAGGCACCAAGGACTATATTCTATCAGTTTAACTCTTTCTTGACTTTTTGGTGTCAGACAGGAGTTTAAGATTTTGTCCAGTCATCCGTCTCTGAAGAGCATTATGAGAGACTACAGACTAAAATCACATGGAATTTTACTGAAATCTTTAACATGGTCTTTTCCAGTAAGTGGTTTTTGTCTCTGTAATGGAAAAATCCTTGAGATTATGTGTGTGTAGTGTGTGTGTGTGTGTGTGTGTGTGTGTGAGAGAGAGAGAGAGAGAGAGAGAGAGAGAGAGAACAGCAGTGATCTTCTCTGACTTTGCAGACCTATATATTTCTCCTATTTTACCCAAATAGTATATATACTCATAGGCAATGTAATGTGCTAGGAGCAAGAATTCTTTCCTTTAAGTGTGGGAGTATCTTGGAGTGTTTACTTTACATAGCATTCTAGAGAAAGGAAAGTCAGAATACCAAATTGATATTACAATAAGCAGGAGCACATTCTACAGTAGAATGGCATATCTTCGAACTTTTTAAGATGAAAGAGAAAACTTCAAAGATGTGTCTTGAGCTCAAGACGGGTTGCCTCACACTGTGTCCAGATCCTGTGGGAGTAAGATCTCTCTACGTTAGGGCTGAGTGACTCTTGCCTGAAAAAGTGTGCACACCTCAGTCTGATCCAGTCTTGGGGGAGAATAAATCTTTCTACTATGCACCCTTGCAGAAAGGAGACTCCTTCGTGTGGGTATAACCTTCCACAAAGGTAATTTCATTGCCTCCTTTGAAATTCAAACATGGTGCTTAATGAACTGTAACTCTTAAATTAATTTCAAATTATTTGAACGTCTATCTGTCTTACATATGAAGAAGTTGAGGCTAAGACATTTTAAAACTTGCATGCAGTCTTACCACGAGGAACTGGTTGTACCAGCCTACCCACCAAAATCTGTGCAGTCTACATGTTTTCCTCTCATCACACCTTCCCTTCTTCATGTACGCAATTTTCACTGGACAATAAAAGGCAGGCTACCTAGTGAAGATGGAAAGTAGGTTTGCATCTGAAAAGGAAGCTACTAGCAAAAAAGTGAGATCCAAAGACAGTTTAAAAACCAGCTCTTTAAAGTGTTGAAGAAAACGGCTGTAACAGCTGCATATCTCTCTGTCTGCTCTAAGCTGTAGGCTGCTTGAAGGATCAGTCCAGGCTTGACTGATGTGCAGATGTGA